TATTATCTTATGTTAAACTATTTATAGAGTTATTGGACCACTTAAAAAAAAACTTGTCCACCTCCTCTTGTGAATAGTGTGAAAAACGTAAATAATAACAAAACATAAGATATGATCAATGTAATTCATTACCTTCAACAGCAAACTAAAGGTAGGGAAATGTCCGCCCGCGCAAAACTCCAAGCAGGGAAATGCCCGCCTTCGGAAAAGTCCGGCGGGGTAAATGTCCGACTTCTTAATACATGCATGTGCTGCACCTATGCATAAATGTACGTTATCTGGCGTAAGGCATTTGATTTTGACTAGGTGATGAAATTCAATTTTGGTTCGGTATCTTTACGAAGGGGCTAAAAAAGTCCGTGGAAAAAGTCTATAACTAAAAATCATATGGAAGAATTTTGATTCCAATACACCTGAACATTCTTGCACCAACATGTTATAACGCGTTCAAATTGAACCCTTAAATGCAGGTAACAACGCATCGCCGCCAGTTGGTAGTCAGGCATCATTCAAGCAACATGGAATCGAGGCCAGAACAAACATCAAATTCATGGTGAAACTCGGTTGGGAGAATAGGCAAATCATTGACGCTCTGGGACAAGTTTATGGTGACAATGCTACAAAGAAATCAACAACCTACAAATGGATCGGTCGGCTCAGAAGTGGAAGAAACAAAATTGAAGATAAGTCCCACAGTGGCAGACCATCAACGTCAATTTGTGAGGAAAACATTGACCCTGTTCGCGACATGACTGAAAATTTACATCTGCTTATTAGGAATGCGTTTTGAAAAAAACTCTCCAAAACAATCTCAGAAAAATGCCCTGGAAAGCTGCATCAACGCGTTCTCTTCCACCACGACAATGAACCTCAAATCCAAACTTTAAAAAATAATTGAAAGGTACCAATTTTCCATCGGTTGAAGATGTAAAAAGAGCTACTCTGACTTGGTTCAGATCACATGACCCTCAGTTTTACTCAGATGTACTTAAAGCCTGGTATCAACGTTTGCAGTGTATTGACCGTTATGGAGCATATGCTGAAAAATAAACTTAACTGAATCCATTTTTTCATACTGTCCTCTTCCCACGAACGTTTTATGTAAATACGAACTCGTACTTACATTAAAATCTTATTAAAATATAAAAGCCTATTACAAACGAGAAAGTGACCAATAAATCAAGAGTAAGAATTGTATAATTAAAATTCATTCGGTATATTTCTTTCATCGATGTTTATTATTCTTTAAAATAAATACAAGCTCTTCTTAAAGGAATAATCCAGAGGGTAGTAGAATGTGTTTTTTACTTTATTTGCAAAATAAACAATCTAAATAAACATCCCAAGGCATCCTTTTGTAAATTAATTCACAACACTAGACTTTATAGCCCTTTTTATCTAGCATTTTTGCTCCTGAAATCCGTCTGCTACAAAATGTTGCCGGTGGCGCCTCCATATGGGTGTGACGTAGTACCGTGTATATGGGTCAGGAGATCAGCCATTATTGTGGATTTATTGTGACAAATTTCAATGTCTGGTGACAATTTTAGCCCGCAGGGAACTATCAAATGACGAGGAAAGATGGAGGCACTCGAGAATTGGATGCCATAAAGTTAACCCATTCGCGCCGGGTAAAAATGAAAAAAAAAATGGGGAAAATGCTGTGCTCATTTTTTATATTTTTTAATGAAATTTCTCTACACTAGATGGCTCTGCCTTACCTGATTTCACCTTTACTTGAATTGGCGGGAAAATATATTTTTACTAGTGCTATGAATATCGATGGTTATTTTTATTATAAACATTATAATTACTATAACGGTATAAACATTAGTAACAGCAAAATAAGATAACGCAAAATAATTTCGTAAATTAAAGAAAAGGGTAAACAGGCGAGACAAGCAGTACAAATACAAGTGGAGCCATCTATGTGTGAAAACAATTAAACATCGTGAATGGGTTAATGAAGGAGGAAGACGAGTCGTCAGATTCGGCCTATAACATGGCTCAAATTGGTATCCTTTCACCAATTCTCCTCCTACTTCCAGCTCCCTATCTTCTAGTTCATCACCAGTAAGATCTATTGATTCTGTACACACAGAATCAATAGATCTTTCACGATCAACTTCACTGGAACTGCTGTAATCTTGTTGCTCGCCATGTTGTTGGACAATGGCTATACAAGGTATGACGTCACGCGACGTGGTGGCGCCACTGGTCGTTTTTGAGGCAGACGAATTTTGTGGGCTTACAAAATCATGTTTGTTTTTATTATTCGGGTCTAAATTTTCAATTTGATTTTATTAATGGATAAATATTAACCTAGGCCAACTGTGGATGCAAAATAGTGCACCAGTTCTAGGCTATTCCTTTGAACTCTTTTCACTGATATATTCTAAATCCATTATCTGGAATCCTTCTCCCGTAGTCGTCTGCCGACGTATAGTGCCGCCTTCCAGGGTCGCTCAAGCCAGTCCTTGGAGCGCTTTGCGGTGCCCGT